GACAGACAGACAGACAGACAGACAGACAGACAGACAGACAGACAGACAGACAGACAGACAGACAGACAGACAGACAGACAGACAGACACGTAAGTTGACATATTTTGAGAGCCAGAGAAGTTACTGGAATATTCCTTTTGATCGGGAAAAGGAAGGGGGCGTGGGGAGGGGGGAGGGCAAGGTGTTTACTTCTATTTCCTTGAAATATTTCTGTCATGAACACTGAGTGTTAAAACACCTACAGAGGTTTTTATGTTTGATAAATAAGGGAAAATAATTGTGAGGCATCGTGGTAAAATCAGGCGCTCGTCAAAATAATGAAATCAGAGAAAAAGGCATTTTTCAAGGAGTTTGGCAATTTTTATCGAAATTGTGTTTTTTGCCTAAACACCTTGAATGTTTGTATGAAAACATTTCCACGTGAATTTTACTGAAAACCTTTGTTTAAAGGCACAAAATATGTCATTTCCAGTTTTCAAGGACGCTTAAGCTATTGGAGTTGCCAGACTTTGGCGGCCATTTCCCCATTAATTTAACCACTGAAACCAAGCTACCCCATCTTCTTCAATCGCAAGTATCTCGACTTCTATTCAAGCTTGTTTGAAATTTTTTTCATCGCAAGGAAGGCAAATAAATAAGCATTCAGGTGATAGGTGATATCAATAACTTCACACCCCATACCGGGCATGTTTGTAACCGCCATTTCCTCATAAAGTCAGTATTTTCTTTTTCTTTACAGGCCGTTTTCTCAAAATGCGACTTTTCTCTATACTTTTTTGAATAGTTCCACCATTTTTCATCCAATCTTCATAAAATTTTCACAGAATGAAGAGAAGAGGTAATACTAAACATTTGTATGTTGAATTTTTTATATATGGAATAGATTTTTGTTGGTGGTGTCTGGAGTGTGGATTTTCACGGATTTTTCGCAAACTTGAATGCTAGCTCAGGAAAAAATTAATTAAAAGTTTTCTAATTCGATTAGGAAAAAAACAACAGACACATTTTTAGATCTAATGTTTGTGAACACGCTTGCAAAAAAAAACGATCAATTTCCAAGAGCGCTAAGTGCGGTATTCATTACGTAAGATATGTCAATAAAATCCAATATGGCGGCGTATCCATAGAAACGAAACTTTTTTTTCTCAAATTTGATTGCGATTTTAAGACTTCTTACTATGCTTGTTATATGTATGAAATTTGGTAAAATTTGGTCAAGTAATAAGCGAAATAGCCTCCAGGTGTAACCCCCCCCCCCCCCTTAAAGAAAAACACAGAAACGTAGCTTTCATAAATATATACGAATAACAACATCCGAGTCTTTTATGAACAGTTTCTTAACCCCGTTCATTGCCTGATTCGAGAATTAAGTGATGGAGCAGGTCTTGGGGTAAGAGTGCGCTCTCTTGCGTTTTGTAAATCTCAGTTTATAGATTTAACGATTTACTGTAGGCTACTTTTGTGCTTGATTTGAGGGGGGGGGGGCGGGGTGTTGGTAACGTCGTTGTCCCCTCTCAACCGACAGCCCAATAACCACCAACACTCTCAACCAGTGAAATGATCTTTCTGAGACAGCTTTTGTTTGTCTTTACAAAACTTTGCTTTCCAAATTTTTGGAACCTGGATGAGACTCACGGAAATTGATGAACAGAAAAGTACCTAAACAGAAACATTGTAAGTACATGTCTAAAACATATTATATTTGTACGGGTGTATGTATGCATGTATGTAGGTATGATGTATATGTAAACTTATAGCATTTAATTTTTCGTTTGGCTGTCATTGGAAACCATATTTCCTAATGGGAATCAGTAATAAATAACCAAAGTAGACGCCAGGGCAACTGCACCATGCTGATCCCTCAAAGACAAACATAACGCCACAGCAGTGCTCCCTTGTCGTATCTCCTTCTTTAACAAAAGTGAAAGCAGTTCATAACAAAGAGTGAGATTAGGAAGAAGTCACATTATTACTGTTATTAAAAATGGAGATCGGACAAGAAAGCACTGAGATCGCGAAAATTATTCTGAGTATTTCCGGGCAGGCTCCTTGTCCTCGTCCACCACACATGTTACATCACAACAATAGTGTTCTGAAGACTTGCACGGGTGACGAATGACCGCTGGTCATCTGGCAGAGGTGACACGAGGACACGGGGCGGTCCGTCCAGGTCTCAGTCACGTGACCACTGG